TTCTTTTTAAAAACACCTTATTACTATTTCTAAAATTTCTAAATCTGTCAAATAAGATTACTGAAAAGCAAATAGCCCTGTTTTTTGGTGGGTGTGTTTCTAGAGTTTCTCCATTTTTATAAACTATTAGCTGACGATTTTGAATATATAGTTTATCATGCTACACAACGCTTACACCTAAAATTCTTTAATGCAAATTAATGACATTTTACTGAAGGCTGTCTCTTCATCTCATGTTATGGTCATAACAGTCTTTTGGAAATATTAATTATGTTTGTATTGATATTCACTAATTATATTGTTCTAAAATATTCTCTCAGACTTTTCTTTTTTTACCAGTTAAGATCAAACCAATACTTGCTTCATTCATGGCATCAACTAAATTATGTTCGTATCCTTATTACTGTTATTACACCTTAAAAACCCACTGAAGAAAATTCATCATATACTAATAACCATGTGGAGTTTTTTTTAAACTTTGAATTAACTTCCCCTTTATTAAAAACAGATCCTTTACTTTAGGATAGTGCTGGCCCTATTCTCTTTTCTCTTTACATTTATGTGAAACACACTTCTGAGACATTAGTCTCAATAATGTTGAGTCAATAACTATTTATTAAGTACTTATTATGCGTGAAATATTGTGGTAGGCACAGAGGATACAAATACAAAAAAAGAAACATGGTGCCTTCAAGGAGTTTACAATCTAATGAGGGAAGACAACACACAAAGGAGGCTGCAGAGATGAGAACTGAGGTAAGGAAAATACTGAAAGAAGGGACACGGCAGAGAAATCAGAGAAGTCCTAGAGGACAACAAGCCATGGGAGACCTGAGATGATGTTGTGGGATGAGTACCTCCTTCAAATAGAGGGCTATTTAGTGGTTCATTTAATACTAGGCTCACTTAGTAATTTATTCATTTAATTCTAGAAGTGTCCAAATGCTTCATACAGCTTATTAAGTTTTGATGGATAAATAACTGGGTTTGTGGCCCAGGCTTCTGAATTTTATCTGTGTTGGAGTCCAATTTCTCTAATTAACTATTGTCTTCCTTGAGAAGACTGCTGTGATTTTGACTGATGATACCCTTCAGCATGGCAATTTTGATCTTTCTATGCTTGTGGGATTTTTTTCTTGTTCAAAATTGAAGTTTAACTCAGATATGTCCTATAGAGTTGAATCCTAGGGTTCTCCTTTTGGAGTTTTTGCTTTATATGTCAAAATTTGTTTTAATTAATTCTGAAAGATTGTACTGAATGATTTCCTAGCATATGAATCCAAGATTTTTTTGTTTTTCTAAATTTCCTGCAACATTGACAGTTCTGGAATTGCTGTATCTTGATCAACATCTTCCAAGTTCAACATTTGATCTTCACTTTTTTCCAATCCTTTCAAACACTTAGTTATTTTCTGAGCTTGTTTTTTCACTTTACGTATTGCAATTCTGTTTTTCACAGCATTAAGTCTATTGTTCATTGCTTCTGACTTGGGAAGGAAAGAGCATTTTCTATTATATTCTTCATAAATCAAAGGATCTGATAAGTTAATTCAGGTATTACTACCAAATGGGTGCAGATTGCAACCCACTCATGCTTTCTCATTCTGTGCAGTTCTTTTCCATGTATTCTCATAAATCCTCCACAAAGTGGCTCGAGTAATAACACCTAGGCTATCCATCTGTTATTTCTCAGTCGTTACAAATTTAGCATACTTCTTTGATCAATCGCATACACCCTTATTACCTAGAGAACACAAAAATCATGTCAAAATTATTGCTTTTAAATCTTTTATGCTATTTTTCAATTCTAGCTTCACTTCCATTGGTGATTTTTTATTTTGGTAAACTCTTTTTCCGTTTGTTCTTTTGATTTTCTTACCAGTATTCACCATTATCTAACTTATTGAAATGTATAATTTATCCATCTAAAGCAGTCTTTTCAAATTAACAGTTATTGTTTCTTTCTCCAGTACATTATTCTGGTACTTTAGTCTTTTAACTGCTCCATATTTTTTCCCAGCTGTTTCAATATTTCTTCACCTTGCTCATTTTCTGTTTTTGGTCATTTGTATTTGTTGTGACTTTTATTCAGTCTTTCTTCTCTTTGAAATTTCCATTGTTTGTTGGGGAGATTGTGACAGTACCTGCTTCCTTGGAACTCCTCATAAAGCCATCTTGGCTGGAAAGCCATACATGCCTTTTAAACAAATCTGTGTATCCATTTCCATCTCTTTAGAACACTTCCCTTTTCTCCTTCAAAGGAAGTTTGTGCCAGAAAGATATCAATATGCATGACTAAAACAGCCATAGTCTTTGACCCAGAGATCTCACACCGGGGCATATAATAAAAGGGAAGCAGAAATCATTATCAGGCAACTACTACATGACAGGCATTGAATTGGTATCACTGATACAAAAACAAAAATAAAAAAGAACCCTGTACTCCAGGACACAAATAAGCATACACAAAACAAGCAATGAAAAGGGTCAGGGAGGACCCTAATAGATAGGGGGAAATCTCAGAAGTCCATAAAGAAATTGATCTTTGAGATGAGTCCTAATAAGGATTTCTAAGAGACAGAAGGAAGAAGAGAGTACATTCAAGGCATAGGGGAAAACCAGTGGAAAGGTGTGGAGAGAAGAGCTGGAATGTCATGCATAAGGAACAGAAAAAAGAACAGTCTGGCTGAATCACAGAATCAAGGATAACACTGAGGTTACAAAACCTGGGTGATTAAAGGAGTTCAATTAACAGGAACAGAGAAGTTTGGAACAGGGATAAATTTAAGGGAAAAGATAACAAATTCTGTTTTGGCCATGTTGAGTCTGAGATGTCTATGAACTGTCCAGTTTGAAACATCCAATAGGCAGCAGAATGTAAAACTACAGCTCAGGAAACAGAATAGAGATTTTAGATAAATCTGGGAGTCCTCTGTCTGACTACAGCTGAACCCTATAACTGGAACAACCAAGCTTGGTCTCAGAGAAGAGTTAAGAAAATATACCTCGGTCCTCTCTCTGCAGAGGCAATTTATGAGTGTAGAGCACTGTACATGCTGTCAAACATGATGAATGTTCATTAATGTTACTAAACTACTTTTTCTTCCTTTTTTCAAAAAATTTCACTAAAAAGACAGGTTAGGTAGTGGTAAGGGAGTAGTGCAAAGGAAGGTAATGTAAGAACAAAAGAAAGCAGTAGAACTAATATATGGGGGAAGCGGGAGGTGAAGATAGGAGGATTGATGATTATATACTCTTGTGAGTATAACATGTTCTATAAAAGTTTAGGCCTTGAGATCCTGCCTAGCCTTTCTTTATTCTTTGAAATCTACTATCCCAAAATCCGAATTGCACAAAAGAATACGACCAACTTCTGCCTCTTATCTACAACAAAATACAAAATGTAGTAACAATTACTTCTAAAGGTTTTCATCATTTCTATTTCATTAACCAGACACTTCCCACTATTCAAAATCAGATCCAAAATAACTGTTCTGTCATCACTTCCTCCAGCTTTTGAAAAAAAAATAAAGTAGCTTTAAGACAAATCAAGAATTTAACATCTGCTCTGCTTTTATCAGTGTTTCAGCAAATATCTAAGTAACTGATATCATTTACTAAGGCCATTTGCACCTCCATGCTAAGTTTTGGATTTGTTTCTTGTTTTGTTCATTCATTTCCTCATTCAAGTTTGGTAGTATCTACTGTCAAACATGCAGCCCTTGCTGACCTCAACATTACCTAGTGCAAACCAGAGTAAAATGCAATTAAGTAATATTTAACAAAATAAATACATTAGAACAAAGATAATGTTATTATGTGGTTTTCTAAGTGAATATGTGGCTGACAGAAATTCCTATATATGATTTAGTAGCCGCCATTTCTATTTGTTTAATACCACTGGTATACACTACCATAACAATATTGTCCCTCCACTTAAGATTACCCAATTCCTTCCCCTGCCAGTTCATGGCCTCACAAAAGTAAAACTTTTTGATACACAATAATACTACAATTCTCCTTTTATTTAATCTACTTTTTGTTCAATAAGTTATATACTCTTCCATGCTCATAATCTAATCATGAGTCATACCTTTAATCAAACTTCAGTGATATTTGTATAGGAGAGTTCACTTCTTTGAAGTAAGATTCCCAGTTTGCCTTCTCAACTAGACATTGTGCATTTACCTAAGGACATGTAAGGCCACAGATTTTACTGCTTACCTTCTAGAGCACCGTCCCCTTGAAAATCATTGGTCATCTCCAATAATGTTCTTCCTATAAAGTACCTGCTACTCTCTATGGTATTTGGTTTGGGAAAAATAGGTGGGCAATTCTTTCCTTCCCTCTTCATTTTCAATTTAAAGCTCTCTTGAGAAGATTCACAAAAATTCACAGGCCAATATATTATTTACTACTACTGACGAAATGTACACCATCTCTGTTCAAGAGTTTATCATTCCAGTAAATAAACGAGGGTCAGAAATCCTAATCTCAAATCTCAAGAATTATTTGCTCAATCCGCTGTCTACTTCCAAAATCCATCTCCTTCTCCCAAAACGCTTATCTTCAACTGGAAGTGGTGATAAGTACATCAGCTTTGCCTCTCTGGTCTCCAATTCCTTTCCCTGGACTCCTTAAACCCCAGAAATTCTTTACAGGTCTCCTCAGGCCATATCACTTATCATTACTAGTTGTCAATTTTGCCAAGTTTAGAGAAGCTGTTATATCCTGAATGTATACTCAGAAAAGTGAGCACTCCTTTTTACTCTTGCTATTATGCTGACAGACGGCCACCATGGTATCCCCCAGTAAGAAGTCACCAAACACCATACTGGATATCCTCTACACTAGTAGGTCCTATGGATGGCCATAAAAATTCCTTGGAACCTAAAAAGCCATTTCTTCCACAGAAGGTACAGCTCCAACCTCCAAGAGAATTAGCCCATCTACATTATATAGCTCTATAATTGTAACATGGCTCTTCTTCTCTGTGTTACCTTGCTTTTCCATATTCCAGTCTCCTGATTCTGGTTAGGATTCCCTTCTGCCTACTCAGATTCTTTTCTCTTCTTAGTTTTCCCTTTGAAGTACTTCCATTATTTCAAGAATTTATTCTCCTTGACAAGCTAGATAAGAGAAGACATATGTATAGCTGTTACAGCTTCTCTTCTAACTAGAAGGGTCAACTCATATTTTAAGTCAATGTAGTAGTTACTCTGCCCTAAGAGAAACATGAAAAAAGTCCATACAACATATAATAGTCACTAAATAAATGTTTATTGATTGATTGAATGTCTCCTCGCCTTCCATACATGTTATAATGGAGACACTAATTCTCAGCATCAAATAGTTAAATGTTTACTTGCCTGCCTGGTCATACCTGGTGAAAAGCCCTTTTTTCTAAGCCTTTCCAGGCTATTTTACCCTCTACTTGCTTGCTCAAGTGCAACTTACCTGCAATGAAGAGATTCCTACCAAAACCTTAAACCAAACAGAAGCTCTCTCAGCTAATGTCTACAAAGCCTTAGGAAGAAATCCAACTATTTTTCTCCCTCTTCCTTTATATACTCTTATAAAAAGTTCAAACTTTGACTATCTCCTTCTCTCATCTTACCTCTTCAATCAATTATGAAGAGATGGTAAATATGCCTTTGCTACAATAAAACGTACAGTGTTACGTCTCACTTTGAAGACTAGTTTGCTCAGCTTTAGAAGAACATCTCTTAAGATTAATTCATACAGTAAGCAGCTATGAGTGAATTTCTAGCTACAACTTCACTCTTAAGAATCTTGTCAGTTATAAATGCAGCTTCTGCCACAGACTACTGGCTCCTGCTTCCCGATCTTGATAACCAAGAGGCAAAGCCACTGTGACCAGGTCTTCAAGTTAATATATATCTATAACTTTTAAGTTTACAGGAGAATTTGGGAAAGTGAATTCAGTGTAGAAGGGTAATTAAGAAAACTTAGCTCTGTATTAGTACCCTGATTTGAGAGAAAAGTAGAGGGTATAGGAAAACTTTCATCTTGACTCTAATTATACATCATTTCTCCTTCCTCATTCAACCATCATTTTCTCTACTTTTCCAGTAAGCAATTTGTGATAAAGTTTTGCTTTCATGGAATCACCCAACCCTAAAGGTTTTCTTCCTTTCTACTCCTCTTTTTCAGATTTTTATTCAGCTCACTACCCTGTAAAGCTTCCCTACTTCCCTTCAAAACAGCCTCCTATAAAACAGAAAAGTGAAACTCATACAAAAACAAATAATCATTAAATCATCACTTAGGTTTAGATACTTCTTATTAATAATAATATGCACTGTGATCTTATGAATATTTTCACCCAAAGAGTTTTACTGTTGAATTATGCCATCAAATTCATTACTCAAAAGGACTTATGGCCTTTCACAAACATTTAACTGAAGAATCATTGAATACTTCTGAAATTAACATGTATTCATAAAAATAGTTTCTAATATTAACACCATCTAAAATAACTAACATGATAAAATAAAGAACTATGTTTATATCCACTTACTGCAATCTCTCTACAAGCCGACATGGATATTCCTGTGCCTTCAATTTGCTTCAATGCATATTCCTTTTCATCTTTTCTGCACATAAACAAAAAATCATCATTTTATTTTTCTACAAGTTATCTTCAGGTTTAAAAATTATAAATCCAGATACAGTAATCTCTCTAAAATAAATCATGAAATGAAAAAGGATTCTTAATGTTAAGAAAACTTTAAAAATCCTGTAATGCTTCATAAATATTTTTAGCACTGGCAATTACAGAAAGGTGAAATTTCAAAAAGAAATTCATATCAACTTCTAACAAAAATCACTGACATAAAATTCTGATTAAAACATTAAGACACTAATCAGAATACTGACACAAAAATGTTACTTTATAGAAGTTATGAGTTTGTAAGAATAAACAAAGATATAAACTATATTACAGGAAAATATTAGTCCTCACTCAAAATCAAGAGTCTACAGAAGCATTCTAATGGAACAATTCACAAAAAAATCAAATTACTAGTAGTCTTATATCTTAAAGTAGTGCAAGGTGGCAATGTTGGAAATATTCACAAGAATCAAGAACTACAGAGGGGAATGTTTACTCATTAACATGTCTAAGTGTTTTGTACGTCACAAGGCACAAAGCCTAAAACAGCCAAATAGATGCTCCTGTTGTTACCAGAATTTTGTTTTATACTAAATTATCACTGCTTACCACCTCCTTAGTAAAAGTTACAAGTGGACCTCCCAACAATTCTACCAATTAAAGAAACAAAAAATGTAGTAGAAGGCTATAGGGAGAAATCCCAATCCTCAGGTGATAGAGCAGAAAAAAAATACTACCAGGACCAATAACTCCTAAAGCACTTGTTGGATATCATGGCTTTGTAGTCCTACATGCCATGAAAACACCCAAACAAGAAAATATTCTGATCTCAGATATTCACCTAGTCCCATGAATATATCTAGGTAGTTTTGAAAAGTAGTAAGCAGCTATCCTTCATTTTGTTTACTATATGATATAAGAAATCAAAAAGTCTTTTTTAAAGTTAAGAGTTATTTTTAAAATATTTTCTTATGTACAAATGTTTAGATTATGTCAAAATTTAAGTTATAGGATACTTAAGTTATATACACTTCTTCCAACGGTGAAAAAAGAATCCATTCTTTTTAATTCTTCTATAAAAGATTGAGGCAATAAGATAAATTTTGACAAAGAAAAAAATTGGAACCACTAGAAAAAATAGTAGGAAAGCTTAAAATATTCTATTTCTAAAGTTAACCTTTTTATTTTCAAATTGGCATCAATAAATTTTTGAGCATATGAGTTGAGAGTTAATACACTGCAAGAAAAATAAAACATCCAATGCCATTCTTCCACTTAATTTATAACTGCTCAACTTCTGTTCATATGTTACAGAAGCAGAGATGGAAAATAACGAACAGGTAACCAAATATTCAAACTCCAAATGCTTCTTAGTCCCACGTTATTATATGAGTTACTACATCAGCATACCTTGCATGCTCTGATTTAATATTTTCAAGTAAATTCCATGAAAGTAATGAATGTTTTTAAGTATCAAGTGCTTAGTATTGCAACTTTGTTTAATAAATACTAAGAATAAAATGTTATATGTCAGAATCCAGACAAAATTTTCATAAGTAACCACAATAATTTAAACAGAAATATTTTAATCTCCTTCCCCTCACATGAAATACTACATAAGCTCAAAAATTGTATAGTTTTATTTTTAATGGTGTAAGAAGATACAATCTGGATGAATAATAGTTGCTATGGAAACCATAAGATTCTTTTTTTACAAGTGAAAGAATAAAATTATCACATATTAATGCCTTTTGAATGTTAAATCTAGACTGTCAGAGAAATTTGATAACTTCAGGAATACAGCATGAAAAAAAGGACTCAGTTTCTACATTCAACAATTCAACCAACATTTGTTAAGCATCTATTGTATGCATAGCACTATGTTAAGCACTAGACAAGATACAAAATTAGGTACAGCACCCTGTCCTCATGAAACTAAAGTCTAGTAGGGAGGCAGCACATACAAAGGTAACTGTAATACAAAACACATAATTAATTCATTAGAATAGGTACTGGACCTGAAATTTCATTGCTTTAGGAAATTCCCAGGTGAAAAAAATTCCCTCTACAAATGCTGATCAGCACCTTCTCTTCAATTTACAGCCTGGAGTGACCTAGAGCACAGAGGTTAAATGACTTGCCAGAAGTCACACTGCCAGTATATGTCAAAGTAAGACTTTAACCCAGATCTGCCTTGCTTCAAGGACAGCTCTCTAGTTACTACACTCGTTACTACTGCATCTAGTGCATTAAAGAGGTACAAAAAGTACCAGCTTGAAGGGTCAACAAAGAAAATTTTATGGAGGAAGTATTTAAGTCCAACATTAAAAATAGACTTTAAAAGAAGGGTAGGACTTTCAAGAGACAAAGCAGAGGAGGAATATTCCAGGAATAGCTAACAACATGAGCCAAGTCACAGAAAGCAGCACAGAATGGTCAGGGGACAGAGTCCTTTGGCTAAATGATAAAAGTATATAACAGGAAGTAAAGGTTAATAAGAATATTAAGGTATGGGAGCCTAATATTATAAAATATCTTAAATGTCAGGCAAATCTAAATTTGATTTGGTAGGAAATAAAGAAGTCACAAAAAAATTTTAAGCAAGCAAGTGAGATGACCAAGTTTATACACAGGGAAGATTAGGAAGCTACAAGTACAACAGATAAACTGAAGAGGGAAAAAGTGAGATGAGAAAGACTGGTTAGGTCACTGCAGTGGTTACAGAAGATTAAAACAAGGGCCCAGGGCAGGGAATAGATAGGACATTTTGGTGAAAGAAATGATAAGCCTTGGACCAAGGCGGGGATATTAATAGGAAGAAATACAGTGAATTCCCCCACCCAAAACCAAAACCAAACCAAACCAAAACAAAACAAAACAAAAAACTCTTCTAAACAGATGTAGAAAATGTACCAGACTGAATTCTTATCAATAATTCCAAGAAAAAAATTACAATGAGTCATTTTCCCAGCCCATGTTAGGATAGGGAGGCAGACAGAGAGGCCTGTAGACACTAGAGATGAGATACTGTCAGTGGCAGCTCAACAGAACATTTCAGTGCAGGCAGAAGCTGTGCACCAGGGCAAGATGAAGTCCTAGATCCAGAACGGAAGAACTGAAACTTGAGTAGGCTGTAAGAACAGGTAGCAACTGGTAGTTCTATCACTTACTACCCAGTTTCAGAGCAGATTGAGGCGTGGCATTGCAGTGGTGAAGAGTGATAGAAAGGAGCAAGTTCAAGAGCAAGGTATGACTCAGATCCCAGGAGTCAAGTGGGGTCTCAGTTCCAGGCTCTAGTATAGTCTGAATCTCATCCCTAATATCTGTCTCTCTATGCTAACCTAGGCTAGAAAAATGACTCACCATGATTTTTTTTTTTTTAGGCAATTGGGGTTAAGTGACTTGCCCAGAGTTAGTAAGTGTCAAGTGTTTGGTCTGAGGTCAAATTTGAACTCAGATCCTCCTGACTTCAGGGCCAGCGCTCTATCCACTGTATCACCTAGCTGCCCTGATTTTTTTTTTCTAAATTCCTGATCAAGATTCAATCTGGTAGATTTTTCTAGATCTACTGAAGGAGATCTGGGCCTGAGGTGGGGGAGAGGGAGGGAAGGGAAAGGAAGGGGAATTACAGAGGAATTACCAGGACTAATAATAGCTGAGTCCAGCAGCTTTCTACCAAAACTTCAACAGGTCCCAAAGATCTGTTGTTGCTTAGACCCAAACCCATGTTAGGAACTTGCAGCACTCAGACCAGGGAAACAGTGTTCAGACTTTATTCTCAATTAAACGACTTTGGGAGCACTGGGAGCTTGCATGCAGTCAATAAACTTTTTTTTTTTTTTTTTTGGTGAGGCAATTGGGGTTAAGTGATTTGCTCCGAGTCACACAGCTAGTGAGTGTTATGTGTCTGAGGCAGTACTTGAACCCAAGTCCTCTTGACTCCAGGGCCAGTGCTCTATCTATAGCGCCACCTCGCTGCCCCATCATTTATTGTAATAAATAAATATTTAGCTCCTTCTGTGTGTCAGGCACTGTGCTAAGCACTAAGGATACAAATACAAAAAAGACAGTATCTGCCCTCAAAGGGCTTACAATCTAACAAGGAAGACAAAACACTAAAGAAAGATGCAGAGGGGGAGGGAAGAAAAAGATCCCCAGCACAGGGGGTATAATGGAAAAGTCTAAAGGAGAGTAGCCAGGTGGGAAATGAATCCAAGACCCACGTCTGAGCTGACCCACCAATCTTGGAATAAAGCAATATTCAATACCCCAAGAAAATAGATCAAATCAGACCTCCAATCCAAAAGTGTGCAGAACCTAGCCATAACATCAAGTCCAAAGTCAGGAAAATAGGGTGCAAGGATGGGCAAACAAAAAGAATTTCACCATAAAAAGCTATTATAGTAAGAGGGACACTCAAGACATAAACCCAGGAGAGAATAACTGTAAGTCATTTACAAGCAAAATCTCAGAGAAAAACCACAGCTTAGTCATAAATTCAACTACATTTAATAAGAAAAGTTGAATCAAGAGTTTAAAAAAAGTTTTTTTAATTTTCTATAAGTAAAATGAGAGCAAAAGAAGTGAAAAGTGGAAAAGAAATGAGTTATGTAAGAAAAAAACTGGAAAGTGAATTAATAGTTTGAAACAAGAGGCACAAAGCTTACCCAAGAAAATAATTCTCTAAAAATGAGAATGGACCAAACAGAAGCTAATAACTCCATGAAACAACAAGAAATAGTCAAATGATTGACCAAACACACACATCACCCACACGAAAACGCTTAGCAAAAACCACTGACCCAGAAGAAAGACTGAGGAGAAAAAATTTAACAATCATTAAAGAACCTAGTTATATATCCAGAAATATCAAATAAAACTGCCCAGATCTCCAAAGTGGAAACAGAACAAATCCACTTGTTACTACCTGAAAAAAAAATCCCAAAATAGAAACTCCCAGGAAGAGTATAGCCAAAACCCAAA